GTAACCGTAGGATAGGGTGATACAGGGTGAACTGGTTAATATTGGCGGCTGACATGGGTCAGTAGATTATTCAGCTAAATATGTCGTTGATCGCTTGGATCTTGGTTCTTCATGTGGAAATGATGAAGGAAGTCTAGTCTCTGTTCGGTTGGTTATCCCGACCACTCGTTTCCAGCATTGCAGATATGCGATGGTGGTATGCCCAGTTGGACGGACCACATTCAAGGTTGGTCCTTGACACTAAACCTGGTACCTTTGACGATCAGAGCACAGAAATCGGCTACTGCTTTGAAGCCTAAGTCGAAAGAAAAGGCAATGACCATCTCGGAGTCCAGTCAGCGAGTTGGCTGCAAGAATTCGTGGGATCACTCGGCAGGTTTTACCCATACAGCTCGAATTCAGTCGCGCAGCGGGACTCAATCCGCCAGGTCCCAAGACCGATCGTGAAAATCGTGCGACTGCACTGGTTACCTTTGTGACACAGACATTGAATGTAGACGATGATTGGAAGTTCTCATCATACAACCGTCAAGCTCGTGGCAGGTCGCCTGCATTTATGTCAATGACGACTCGACAGCCAACCTGTGGCAGTCCGTGAGTAGCGCCCCACCGCTGACGCATCGTGTCTTTGCATACTGGTGCATGATAATCTTCCCCGCGCTACCCTGTCTACCTCATACTTATCAATCCTCTGCAGGCCCACCTTGTGCGAGCTTGAAGCCAATCCGTGTGCACCATTTCCCAATTGGCTGCAGGCAACAAAGGAAATGTATCGTGGTTCCCGTAATATCGTGCGCACACAAATAGTCGGTGAGAGAAGACTGCGAGCAACTATTTTCCAGTTAATTCTTTGTAAGCCCTTTCTCAAAGTAAACACTATTCAGCCTTATCAGTCTTCCCTGACTTCTCACTGGAAGGAACCCTCTGTTGTCGAATTTGCGACACGAGGACCATTAGTGGCCCAACCGAGTTCCACGCCAAACGTAGGTGCCCCACACAGGCTTTGGTGCTCACGCACCTCGAACTCCGACCCGATTGCCAGCGATTGACGACTGTCTGTATTTTTCACCTTTACGAAATTCCATGCCCTCATGACTCCCCCGAGTGCTAAACGGCTCTCGAAAGCAGTCTCGTTATGATTTACGTTTACGCAACTTCAGGTCAAGAAAAATTTCTCCTAACCGTCTGAATTGCACCTCGCCCTTCAGCGATTTTGTAATCTGTTATTCACCCACGCTTGACTGTGTCTCTGACTGTATTCACTGAAGGGTCGCACACTATTTTACTAATGATTAATCGTCACCGGTATGCCGGTTTTCTGACCTTGACCACACTGACGTCGTCGCACTGTTTTCGCCGCACCCCAATGACCTACATCGAACAGCGTTGCTCCGTCAACGAATCATGTTGGTTTTTAAATTACGGCTGTCGTAGCTGGGCCAGAGGAGTCAAACATTCTAGTTTACTACGAGCACATGTGTGTGTGCATGTTCATTATGAAGAGTGGTCGTGCGCATCCTTCGTTCGTCAGGCCCGCGCACTGTATAAATCAACCGTGTTTCTTAATGTTCGGTTGCTGAGGCCGTTCCTCAGTTGTTGTAATTTTACTTCCCCATTAGGGCGTCGATGGAGGCTCCGGAAGACGGAACCCTTGCAAAATATAGTCTTGTAGCGCTGGCGCCAAGCCCGCAAAACACATGACTTCGCTACTCTACCTCCATCTGGGCCAGCCAATCACAGGT